GGACTATGAAGGTTAAGCCTGAGTTTTCTCATTTTTCATATAAATACATACACACAATACATACAAACGTGGCTAATTTCCGACACACATTTCAGGATTATACTGTTCTGTAATATAGTATGTGGCAAGAGCTAATAAAACAATAATATATCCTGCTGTTTCCACAATTATTTATGTGTCGAAATTTATATTAAACAAAAAAGGTGTCAATGCGCACTTTGAAACGATTGCGACACATATATGTATATAGTATATGTACATGCATGCATATGTATGTATATATTTCTCATTATTTCATATATGAAGAGTATTTGCAGGTAAATACTGATTTTGCTGATCGAATTGTATAATCGCGATTTCCACACACAGATGCTCAATGTCATTTGGAAGAAGAAGAGGTAGCATTCTTCGTAAAAATTTTTATCATCGAACATGCGCATTGTCTGTTTTGAAAATCTGAAGAATGATACTTGAGAGTGTATGTATGTATTTGTTCGAAGGTAGGAGGATGCTTGTGTAAGAGAATGAAGAAAAAAAAAAACAGAAGATGGAAATGAAGAATGGCAATCCTTTTGAGATCTCAATAAAGAAACTTATGTTGCATTATTGTGGACAAATTTATAGAAATTGATCTAGCGAGTCCTTTTAAAAATGTCAAACATAGTTTTAGATGTGTAAGTATGTAAGTGTGTGACTCAGTTTGCTTTTGTCTCTAACTGTTGGGCAGCACCCCTCGTCAAGGTTCGTCTTTTTTTGACTTTTAGCAGACATCAATTTATTGTATGCGGAATAATCGTGTTGATGGTTGCGTATTCGCCCCTTTTTCCAACCAGCAGCTTTCTGTTTTATTCCAACTATTCTATTTTGTGTCTATGGTTTTCACTATTTCATATTGTGGTTGATATTCGCCGCAAAGTCATTCTGCTAAATAGTACTTACGATCAAAAATTGTTACAAATCATCAGCCAGTGTCAAGGTACTTGTGAGCGGCGCAACGTATTCATACCGGCGGGATATCGTTGGACTGGTGCTGGATCCGTTAGTAGCGCTTTTGTATTTGTGGAAATATGTATGTAGATATTTGTGAAGGTCGGTTAACACACGAAAAATGCAAAGGTGAAGAAGGGTGGAAGTAATTTTAATTTATGATGTCAATTTTGCATTGTGGTTTTGTCACTCGGCATTCTATTGTCTACCGTTAGGCGTCAGAGCGGCTGGATTTGCGAATAAAGGCGTTTAAATGGCGTTCGAAGGCAACGTAATGCAATAAGTAGTATCGATTTGTAGTTAAGGATGTGCTTATTTACATACATACATATGTACATATGCAGTTGTAGATCTTTTCACAAGCTTGGTGAGGAGGTAGTTGGATTTCAGCTGACATTTTCTCGATATAAAAAATATTCAGTAATCATAATTTGTAGAGTTTTGGCAAATCAACCAATAAAAATCCGAATTTTTGTAAGAAAGGAAAATGAAAAGCTAAATCCTGATAACTAATAGCAAGCATACCGATCGCCCGATGCAAAAATCCCATTTGAGATGGCAGACAAATTCTAAGAGTGGCATGAAGATACGAAGAAGAAGAAAATATGAACATTAAGTGATAAGATCGTCTGTGTCTCCCAACGCTTCTACTAAAAAAAATACCCCGGAAAGCTAGAGTAATCCTTAAGTCGGCATTAAATACTAAAACACCGTTGAATCTAGGTAACAGTTCATGACCCAGAACACAAAAAGGAAAGTCTACATTTTTTTTGAAGAGCACCTAAGGACGGTATTCCAACCAAATACTGCTTCAGATAACGCACCTTTGTTACTAAACCATAGTCTGTGTTTTAAGGCCGAACAAAATCTCCTCGAAACGATCATATCACATCAAAAATGAAAAAAGAACCATCACGCAATACTATCGATTTTTGGTAAAACTTTTCAGCCCACATTAATGGAAAAAGTCGCAATAAGCTAAGGGGTTGGCATTCCGTACGGTCATTCGGAAGGTCTGGGCTCGAGGCCAGGTCTGACTAAATATCCACAATTAATTTAAAAAATTAATTTTTCCGATAACTGTCGACTCTCATACTCCGAGCATATTTCTAACATAAAATAAAGGCTCCTCAGAAAAAACCGTCAACCGTTCGGAGGCGGCTTAGAATAAACTGCAGGTCCCTCCATTTGTTGGAAAAACATCAAAACGCAAATCACAAATTGGGGGTGGAAGGGACTCGGCCAAAACTCGCTTCAATTATATCCAATCACGACAGGTGTTCCTCTAGGCAGTGTTCTTGGATAATTACTGTTAATACTGCACCGCAGTAAACACGCTACTTTCAGACGTTAATTGCCTCAAAATATAAGCAGAATTAAGTTTTCGAGCTCAACATCAATATTGTTAAATTGGTTTTGCGGCTTGTATTATTAATTTTTTGTTATGAGCTAGTGAGTTAAAGGTCATTGTGTGATCTCGACTTGCATGTAGAGACCGAAAATCAGATGATGTGTGTCGATCAACTTTTCACGGGTCTCATGGTCATATGGTGAATAGCTGGTCAATGGTTGATTTACAAGGTTGTAAGCCACACTGTTCAGCTTCAATTAGTTTATTGATGCTGGGCTTAATCTTTCACACAGTACATCCGATATGGCCTTTTGCGTGACATGGAGGAGGCTTATCCGACGGCAACTGGCGCTGACCGTCATCGATTAGGGAGTCGGATTCCCCAACATTGAATCATTATCATCGGTGTTTTATTTGCACAGTCATTCAGCAGGCGGCAGAAGTATTTGGTACATAAATTCAGCATACTTTGGGCTACAGCCCCTGGATCCATTCTTTGCTCCGGTCAATTCCGGTCTTGAAATCTTATAAAAGTGGCCCTTTCGTTGAATTTTTGTGCATCAACCCTGTCGGGAAATTTCTCAAGCTCTTTATATTCACGGATTTCGGGCCTCTTCGTTAGCAGCCGTACATAAGGAGCTTGAACATAGAATAACTGATTAGTGCTCTCAGAGAGCGTGAGCGCTTAGCAAACTTTTGGCTAGTCTGTTGTGACTGTTTCTTAAACTTGAATGAAATTATTTAATGTTGATTTCTTATTTACTTTATTGGTCTAGATACCACTTACGCGATTCTAGCCGAATTTATAACATCGCGTCATTCATTCCTTTTTCTTGCTGCTTGGCGCCAATTGGAGATACCAAGCAAAGCCTAGTCCCACTCTCTCTCGTTTTTCCAACGAAGCGGTGGTCTTCCTCTTTCTACGCTTCCACCAGCGGGTTCTGCATCGAACACTTTCAGAGCTGGAGTATTTTCATCCATTCGGACCACATGACCTAGCCAGCCCAGCCGCGGTTTTTTGATTTGCTGAACTACGTGCATGTCAATATCGACTATGACAATACCTTATAAAGCTCATCGTTCTATCGGCTGCGGTATTCGCCGTTACCAAAGCGTTGCGGACCGTAAACCTTACGCAAAACTGAGAAACTCCTAAGGCTGACTTGTCAGATCTTGTCACTTTCCATGCTTCCGCACCATATAGCAGGACGGGAACGAAGTGTTTGAGTGCTATTCACATTTTCAGCCGCCTGGCTTGCGTTTTCGCCTTTAACGAAGAAAAACTGTAAAATATATCTTATTTCCTCTTTGCTAGTGTCCAACTTTGTCGTACGCTCAAGTAAAACTGAATCAACCAATCGCAAAGCTGCGATTTCTAACGCCATCTAGCGAAGCTCGAACGGACTTATACAACGCGAGATACATATAAACAACACCATCTATTGGAAAAATAATGGATTATTTTTTACTATACCTAAATTAAAATTATGTTTATAAAGTTCCGTACGGAGGTATTTTAATCGCTAAAACATAGACCGGTATCAATTTCTTTACTATTTAGTACGTTGGTAGCTTTTTACTAATTTCGATTTACTTTATTTCCGCAAAGGTGATTAACAGACCGATGAAAATTGGTATGATATTAGGATACTGGCGCTTGTTTGGAGTTGGATGGAGCTGTAGCATTTATAGTGGTTGCAAATTTGGTGTGGTCAGAACATTGACGTATGGCTTACTTCGAAGTATTCATCATCACTTTTTCCTGGAAGGGTTTGAGAAGTGAAAAAGTTAGTAACCTTTGACTATAACTATTGTACGAACTTCCATGAGTAATAAATAATTTAACCTCCTTTACCATACAGTATAGGCTTTAATTATAAATTTAAAAGCCACGTTAAGCCGGCTCTTCTAGTTGCATTCATACATATGTTTTCAATAAATCAGTGAGGCTGTTATTTATGTTGAAGATTTCCTTACTAAAAGTCCAATTTTAATTTATTAACAATTTTTCAAAGCAATCGAGGAATTGTCCAATTGTCTGATTTATGTATATAAGTAAGTACTTTCATTTATAACGGATCTATACTTTTAAATTTAATACTTCTTTAAGCGCCAAATACGTAAGTTACGGTGTTGCCATAAGCAAATTTAATTTCTCATACTCAATTATTATATTTGCGCTCAATTACTCTCTCACACACACATATATTTATCAAAGTTACGCTCAATGAATTTGTATTTGCGCTCTGCTAGCTTTTGGTGCGTAACGGTAAGCAAATACGAAGGTAAAAGCGCATACGAATATACATACTTACATATGTCTTGTGTGGTCTTAATGGAAAAACATTCATAATATTGTTGACACTCTAGAACACACACACACTCTTTATCTTGTAGAGAGCGCCGATTGCATGGTGAATAAGGAAAACACGCAAATACCGTAACTTGTCGCTCATGTCTGCAAGTCGTGCTGTCAACGGCTGCCACAAACCACAACCAAAGAGTGGAGCTTAAGAGACGACCTACAAGAATGAATGTCGAAACAAGAAAAGCAATGCCAACAACACCAAAATCCCCAATAGCCCCACCAGCACAGCGCCGTCAGTACGTACACGAAAGCACGAACGGTCGGTTGCTTAGCAGTAGTGGCGCTGGCATCGTGACAATCGATGCGGTGGTGAAAATTCAGTCTAATTCTACGGTCTTCCTATGTTGGAAGAACGGACGGTCGCGTGTCTGCCCATTATGTATTGCTAAAAATATTTTTATTGCTAAAAAAGCAAATGATCAATTATTATACATACATATACATATATAAAGTATACTTAGTGCAATTAAAAGTAATAAAGTCAATAATGAACTCAACAAAAGTTGGAGCAAGTGGTGTGTGGAAATTATAAAGAAAGTGGTTTTTCCTTGCATAAAGTATTGGTGCTCTTGTGCATTCGAAAATAAAGAAATTCTCGACGAGCAACTTGAATTTTCAAACTTTCTCTTGCTGTTGCTGCTTCTTCCTCGTTTTCTGTTTCTATTTTTGCTATAATATCCAGATTCTGTATCTGAAAATTGTAACGCCACCAACAACACCAACACCACTTCGCCCAGCCACCCTAAAACGAGCACCCACTTTTACGCTGCCGTCACCAGAAAACAGTAAACCACTAGTGTGTCATAGAAAAGCAGCAGAAAAAAAATTGGAAAATTGAAAAATAGTATAGAGTGCTATCAACGAAGAAAGAGAAGAGTGCGCAGCAGACGAATGCTTTGGCGAAAACTCTGCTCTACAGTGACATCGTAAATGGTGCTAGTCATGACACAAGTCTGGAGTCTGAATAATCGAATCAAGCAAAAAATAAAGTAGTCGCAATGACCAAATGAAAATCAGCAAATCAACAACGAAAAGAACGACGGAAAATGGAAAAAAGTGTTTCATATTTTAAAAGCAAAGAAATATTTATTATATTCGTGTGTGCAATTAAATGCCAGCTGTGTAAATTTTCATAAAAAAATTTTAAATCAAATAAATATAGAAAAATAAGACTGAAAAGTGCAAATTCAAGTGACAGTGCAAATGAGATAAACGCAAAAAATAAATAAAAAAAATTGCAGTGAAATAACAGACACGAAGAAGTTAAGTAGGCGTAAGCTGTGCGAGAATATCCTTTGAGGAAACAATCAAAAATAACAATAGCGCTTTGGAGACAAAGCTGAAATAATCGCGACAACTACGCCAAGCAGCTACAGCAACAAAACGAAAAACAGAAAAACAATAAAAAATGGTTGGTAGAAATGGGAAAAAAATTATTATAATCATAATGCAAAGTAGAATTTACTACAATGAAAATCGCACATGCATACATATCTATGTATGTATGTACATGCATACGAGGAAGACTGTGCATCAGCGCCATCTCCTGACATACCTTTACATACTATTTACATACATACATTTAGGCGTTCAGATGTACCACTTTTCACTCGCTTTTCACCACACTCACTCATGCTCAGGCTCAGGCACGGACGCACACATACATAGCTACACCCATAATATTTTGTATGAGTATGCATTTGAAGTGTGTCGTTAAGAGGCACCCACTAGAATTACATATTCACCGTGGCACACAAACACATACAAACGGCTGATAGTGTTTTTGCATATTTGTATATTTATTCATTTTTATTTCCTATCAACTGCCTGCCTGCGCCGCAAAGTAGACTGCATTTGTGTTTTTGCTTCTCATTGCGATAGTGCCAACTATCTAAAAATAGCAAAAATTCAAATAATACATATGTACATTTCTATATACATACATATATATGTATATACGGATATATGATTTTTCCACATCGCTACTTATGTATAGAGATTTTAATAATTTTGCATCCTCGTTGAAATTTCGCTTCGGCTATTTTGTATAAAAGACGGTTGCATTTTATTTTGGCATCTACTTGTATTCAAGTCAATGGTTAAAATTGAGTTCAAATCAAAACAATTGCTACGTGTTTTTGTTTTTCTGATTGCTTCTGATTGACGGCGAAAATGAGCAAATAATCAGTGTAAATAAATGACATACATTGCTAAATACATACATATTTACTTACTATGTATACACATTACGTAGATGCGTACGTGAAAATATTTACGAGAGTTTTTATGTATTCAAGTTAGACGTCCTCTTTTCTATTTCTATAGTAAATGAAGAAATAAATACAATCAGACAATATATAAATAATATGTAAATATTATAAATTCCAATATTTATTTTTAAATCTTGGCAAGAGAAACCTTTTCAGTTCTGAAAATAAAAGCTATCAAATAAATTTTGAGCGCATTTTTTTTAATTATTTAATACGTTTTGATTCCCTATAACATAAATATTTTTTAACATTTTCTTGTACTTTGGCAAAAAAAAGCACAGTTGCGGAAAAATTAAAATACGCATATATATATATACATATGTGTATTTCCGTAAAACACAATACTTAAAATGCCAATACTATGTGCAGAATTAATTTCAAATAGTTTTTCTTGCGTGGAGAGTTTTAAAAATTTGTTCAAATAAAAAAATGAAACTAAATTAATTAAAAAATTAAAACAATAAAATAAATTAAAAACAAAATATAATAAAATAAAGTAAGAAATAAAATAAAATAACATGATATAAACAAGAAAATCAAATAATATGAAAAAATTAATGAATGTAAAACAATTAAAATGAAATATAATTAAATAAAGCAAAAACCAAATAAAATAAAAGAAAACAAAAAAAAAGTTAATACATAATTTAATAAAAAAAAATGAATTAAAAGAAAAGAAAAGGCAATTTAAAAACTAAATTTAAATAAAATAAAATAAACTTAAAACATTAGATAAAATAAAAAGAAAAAAAAAACATATCAAGTCTACAACTTTGCTTCCGTCGTTTTTTCCAAAATCAAAAGCTTTATTGCGAAAAAGTGCTTACAGATATATTATTCAAAGTATTGTTCTTCGCTAGCGACAACTTTCTCCCATCTTTCCGGCAATTTTCGGATCCCGGCTCGAAAAAAGATTCCTCTTTTGACGCAATCCATGAAACCATCCATTTTTCCAATTCTTCGGAGGATTGAAAATGTTGATCTGCCAGGCCGTGTGCCATCGAACGGAATAGGTGGAAGTCTGAAGGGGCGACATCTGAGGAATACGGCGGGTGGGGAAAGACTTTCCATTTCAGCGTTTCCAGGTACTTTTTGACCACTTTTGCGACGTGAGGCCGAGCATTGTCGTGTTGGAGGATGACTTTGTCATGTCGCTCTTGATATTATGGCCGCTTTTCTTTTAGCGCGCGACTAAGGCGCATCAGTTGCGTTTGGTAGCGATCTCCTGTGATGGTTTCACCCGGTGTTAAGAGCTCGTAGTGTATCTTTGAAGGCTTTTCCTCTTCCACCACCATGTTTGTCTTCGACATCGAAATCACCATTTTTAAAACGTTGAAATCACTCCTGACACGTTTTTTCACTCAGAGCAGCATCTTCGTAAGTTTCTGGGAGCATTCGATGCGCTTCAGCTGCATTTTTTTCAAATTTGCTGCAAATCAAATCGGAACCACCTTTAAAGATGAGGATATCTTCTCTCAACTGCCTCGAGGAACCCGCGTGATCTTGGCACAACTAAGGTCTGGATACTGTAGCAGGTTAAACTCCTACCTATCCAGACTCGACCGCAGCATACCTAAAGTTTGCCCTGCATGTGGAGACAATAAACACCTCTTCATATGCCCCTTAAATCGACACATTTAACCCCCTCTCCCTCTGCTCCATTCCCGTCGAAACAGCACGTTTCTAGTCTTCCCATTAGATGACCTCGGCGACTTAGATTGATTCAACCGGTCGCTAAGCGGAGTTAGTGAACCGTTAAAACAACAACAACATAAGAATATTTTCATTTTCAGCGCCAGTCAAACTGCAATTTAGTGCTGCAGAAGATGTCCAAACAGAACAGACTGTCTCTCACTTGAGACATCGAGGCAAACTGTAAGGCGGATGCCCTTGCTGTAATTCACATATGAAAAAGCCTCGTTAAGTTGAAATGAAACTATAACCGCAAATGCAGCACATCTGGCTGAGATTGGATAAGAGATTACGAGATATGTATTCCTAAAAAAAAGAGAAGACATGTCCAAAGTAGTAGGAGTTCCAAATGTCTGGATATAATAAGGGCTCCCTATGGAAGATGCTGCAGAAGCTGCAAGGATGATGAGAAGGAGGAATTTCGAGATTTTAGTACTAGATGGTCAAAGTCATGTATCTAATGAGGTTTATTAGAGAATCAAAATGGCTTGATAATGCAGCCTGATGGTCAAGCTTTTGTGGCACCACAATGTTTAGGTCTAAGGGTAATCGATACTACAGATTGGTAGCCACCATAACCTAATCTAATAATAAGCTATATATAAAAATAATATAAATTAAATATAAATAAATTTAAAGAAAAGTCGCACACCACATATTAAAGGAGGAGTTTAGCCGAAAAGTGCTCCAGCGACAATTTCATTACATGCATTTATAGATACTTCTAATAAAGTAAAATAATATATAATAAAACAAAATAAATAAAATGATTATTTATTTATTCTTTGTTTCCCGAAATCCTATGAAAACAACACTTAAAGCTTTTTCTAGTCATAATATTAGTTGTCTTTCTCTTTTTCTTTGCTTTGTCCATCATCATTGAATACAAAAGTTCTCAAATCGTTTAATGTAAAAGATTAAAAACCGTGTGCCCTCAAACAGATACATACATATGTGACTGCGTACATACATTCACATGCCTCTTTGTGTATTGTAATTCTTCTGACTGCACGTGATCATAAAACTGCAGCGGGCATGCGTTCAGACACCAATGATAATCGTGGTTTAAGGAAAATCGGAAAATAGGGACGTAGGAATGTGTCTGGCGCCATCAGGCTCCAAAATAATCACAATCGAACTGGATGACATAGTTTTATTCCTCGCCGCTTTATTGTATTTGTTTAGTTGAATCAATTTTACTTAGTTGCGAATGATGTAAGAAGCGGTCGCCACAATTCTATAAGCAGCGATAAATAAATTGTGTAAACATGACAGTATACGTGTATGTACATATGTATTTATACGTGCCTATTTGTATATAATATAATATAATGTATTTGTGTTTAAATACATATACTTAATGTACTCGTACATATGTCCCACATACATACTTATGTATATAAAGCTCATTTGTACAACTATCTACGTCATCTTTGCATCCGTGCGCATTGCGTACGTAAGTACAAAACACACATACTCGTACACACATAACATACACATGTGTGATTGCAAAATATGTGACTAAAATAAAAATGAATCCTTCTATTTGTCGCCTTAGTTGGCGTCTAAGTTATTACGTTTATTAAGTAATGCGTCGAATGACACAAAGTCAAAGTGAAAAGGTTTATACAACAAACTTGAATGTGGATATAAACGCTATTTCCATCTTAATTTTTATTTTATTTTGTTAATTTATTATTGTGTACTCGATTTATTTCACATATTCCTCAGCCACTGTATCAGCCGTGTTATTGCAGGCAGCAGAGCTCACCGGCAGAGGCCATCACCCTAACCTGAGGTTCTAAAAAATATAAGAAAATTACATATATATTTATATAATGTTATATACTACTTAAATACTTTATGTTAAACTTTTCGTTGCTCATTATTTAGCCTTTTTCGATAGCAACAAACAGCACAGCGTTGCGCCACGTCTCTTTCCACCGAAAAACGGCAGAAAGAAAACTGTAAATCGATAAAGTGTGTAAATGCCAATGTTGAACCTCCATCGGTGCCAGAAAGGCAGCAGTAATGTTGTTAAAATGTATATGTGTATGTATGTATGTATGGGTATTTAGCCATAACGCCAACGCTGTCGTCACCGTCACCACAGCCATCACTACCGTTATACTGTTATACTACTGTAGTGTAGTTATGGACGATTCGCACAGACGATATGTCGTCGTCCCCAGTGGGTGAGACTTCCCCATAAACAAAAATATATTTATATATATTTGTGTATATACACACATATCCTACTATACGTAATATGGTCCGTGCATTGTGGTAAGTTTCTGCTTTGCAGTGTCAAGTTTCGCGCTGTTAATACTTTTCTCTGGTTTCACATTTTCTGTTATTCCCGTTGTGTGTGCTTACAGAGGATAATAAGGTTTAAAATAAAATAAACTATTATATTTTAAAAGAAAATATGTGAAATAACATAAGCGCA